TTTTTTTTTTTTTTTTTTTTTCAGACTGCTCCATCTATTTGTGGGGAGCATCACCTGCTGGAAAACGGATCCAGCGTCCCATAGTAGGGTGTACCTCAGACCTTTTGCTCAGTTGGAGTTCTCTCTGCAATTGCCTCCACAGTTCAGTTTGTAGATTTTGGTCCTGTGTAACGGGGGTGGGCGAATGCCTTGAGCAGCCTTGACCAGCTACCAGAACTGGCTTCTGCTTGTTTATCTTATCTTAGTCCAGAAGAAGGCAACTGCCACCCGGGAAACTTTATAGTACTTTACACTCCAGCGGCAGCTTTCGAAACCCTCCATCCTTGGAAGAAGGGGGTGACCGATGACTACGTATTCCAGGGTGTCTCTTCCCCGAAGCGTTTCTCAGCTTCATGTGGTTTGCTATAGACGCTGCTTGTTTATCTTATTAGTCCAGAAGAAGGCAACTGCCACCYGGGAAACTTTATAGTACTTTACACTCCAGCGGCAGCTTTGGAAACCCTCCATCCTTGGAAGAAGGGGGCGACCGATGACTACGTATTCCAGGGTGTCTCTTCCCCGAAGCGTTTCTCAGCTTCATGTTGTTTGCTATTAGAGGAAAAGAGGCTTCAATCTTGGTTCTGCTCATCTTAGTATGCATCTTAGTCATGCTGACTGCTATAGGAGTCAAGCTGCATGCATCAGTGTTAAAGATCTGTTCATCTGGGTGGGAAGGGAGTTTGTTATTATGACACTTTACGACACACAGAGGCAGGCAGGGAGAGATGTACTATGTAGACACACAGACAGAGATGTTCACAGGCTGGCTGGCAGGCAGGCAGGCAGACAGAGATGTAGACAGAGACAGACAGACAGACAGACAGACAGACAGAGAGCACAGACAGACAGACAGACAGACAGACAGACAGACAGACAGACAGACAAGGGAGTTTCATACACCACTCCTTTCCCACGTGTTTAGTCGTGATTTCATCCACAGGCTGATGAATCAGGCTGCACCTACGTCTCGATTCGATTCAATAGAAATAAAAACCAGACTCCAACGGAAGGCTCCGAGCAAAGGTGGCGGCGCACGCATAACAGCACCCATTCGCTCTGGGGTCATATCTGCACGTATTTGCTGTTGGTCCACGTTCAATGCATGACATAACAGCCCTTGACAGACAGGTAGACAGACAGACAGACAGACAGACAGACAGACAGACAGACAGATCCACTGAGAAATAGACAGAGATAGACAGACAGACAGACAGACAGACAGACAGACAGACAGATCTACTGAGAAATAGACAGAGATAGACAGACAAACAGACAGACAGACAGAAAGAAAGACAGACAGACAGACAAGGGAGTTCG